GGACAGTACATCCATATTTCAGACACCATGATGTCATCAGTACAGTGCGCCCAGATTTCAGATATTACAATTTAAGGACAGTACGCCCAATGATGTCAGGACAGTACACCCAGAATTTAGGCAATATGATGTCAGGACAGTGCGCCCAGATTTCAGATATTACAATTTAAGGACAGTACGCCCAATGATGTCAGGACAGTATGCCCAGATTTCAGGCAGCATGTCAGTACAGTATGCCGAGATTTCAGGCAGCATGTCAGTACAGTATACAGGACAGTATGCCTAAATTTCAGAAAACATGATGGGAGGAAAATACGCCCAGATTTCAGGCACCATGATGTAAGGACAGTACGCCCAGATTTTAGGCAACATGATGTCAAGATTGTTGTGAGAACGGTACACCAAAATTTCAGACAACATGATTTCAGGACAGTACGCTAATATTTCAGACACCATGATGTCATCAGTACAGTGCGCCCAGATTTTAGGCAACATGATGTCAAGATTGTTGTGAGAACGGTACACCAAAATTTCAGACAACATAATGTCAGGACAGTATGCCGATATTTCAGGCAGCATGTCAGTACAGTATGCCGAGATTTCAGACATGATAACAGGACAGTATGCCTAGATTTCAGACACCATGATGTCATCAGTACAGTGCGCCCAGATTTTAGGCAACATGATGTCAAGATTGTTGTGAGAATGGTAAACCAAAATTTCAGACAACATGATGTCAGGGCAGTATGCCCGGATTTTAGACACCATGATGTAAGGACAGTACGCCCAGATGTCAGGCAATATGATGTCAGGACAGTAAACGAAGATTTCAGGCAATATGATGTCAGGACAGTACGCCCAGATTTTAGGCAACATGATGTCAAGATTGTTGTGAGAATGGTACACCAAAATTTCAGACAACATGATGTCAGGACAGTACGCCTCAATTCCAGACGACATGATGTTAGGACAGTATGCCCAGATTTCAGACAACATGATGTCAGGACAGTACACCCAGATTTCAGAAAACTTGATGTCAGGACAGTATGCCCAGATTTCAGGCAATATGATGTCAGGACAGTACGCCAATATTTCAGACAACATGATGTCAGGACAGTATGCCTAGATTTCAGACACCATGATGTCAGGACAGTACGCCTAGATTGCAGGCAACATGTCAGGACAGTATGCTTAGATTTCAGGCACCATGTCAGGACAGTACGCTCATATTTCTGACAACATGAAGTCAAGACAGTACACACAGATTTTAGGCATTACAATTTCAGGACAGTACGTTGAGGTTTCAGACACCATGATGTCAGGACAGTACGCCCAGATTTAAGGCACCATGTCAGGACAGTACGCCCAGATTTCAGACACCATGATGTCAGGACAGTCCTCCCATATTTCAGACAACACGATTTCAGGACAGTACGCCTAGATTTAAGGCACCATGATGTCAGGACAGTACGCCAATATATCAGACAACATGATGTCAGGACAGTACGCCCATATTTCAGGCACCATGTCAGGACAGTACGTCCATATTTCAGACACCATGATGTCAGGACAGTACGTCAATATTTCAGGAACCATGTCAGGACAGTACGCTCATCATGATGTCAGGACAGTAAGCCTATATTTCAGGCACCATGCCAGGACAGTACGTCCATATTTCAGCCACCATGATGTCAGGACAGTTTGCTCATATTTCAGACAACATGTTGTTAGGACAGTAAGCCCAGATTTCAGACAACGTGACGTCAGGACAGTTCGCCAAGATTTCAGACAAGATGATGTTAGGACAGTACGCCAATATATCAGACAACATGATGTCAGTACAGTAAGCCTAGATTTCAGGCACCACCATCTTAGGACAGGACGCCCATATTTGAGGCAACATGATGTCAGGACAGTTTGCTCATATTTCAGACAACCTGATTTCAGGACAGTACGCCAATATTTTAGACACCATGATGTCAGTACAGTACGTCAATATTTCAGGAACCATGTCAGGACAGTACATCCATATTTCAGACACCATGATGTCACCCCATGATGTCAGGACAGTACGTCAATATTTCAGGAACCATGTCAGGACAGTATGCTCTTATTTCAGACAACATGATGTTAGGACAGAACACCCAGAGTTCAGAAATCTTGATGTCAGGACAGCAGCCAATATTTCAGACACCATGTCATGACAGTACGCTCATATTTCTGACAACATGACGTCAATACAGTACGCGTAGATTTCAGGCATTACAATTTCAGGACAGTACGCCAATATATCAGACAACATGATGTCAGTACAGTAAGCCTAGATTTCAGGCACCATGATGTTAGACAGGACGCCCATATTTCAGGCACCATGTCAGGACAGTACGTCCATATTTCAGCCACCATGATGTCAGGACAGTAAGCCTAGATTTCAGGCACCATGGTGTTAGGACAGGACGCCCATATTTGAGGCAACATGATGTCAGGATCGTTGTGAGAATGGTAAGCCAAGATTTTAGACAACATGATGTCAGTACAGTACGTCAATATTTCAGGAACCATGTCAGGACAGTACGCCTCAATTTCAGACACCATGTCAGGACAGTACGCTAATATTTCTGACAACATGACGTCAAGACAGTAGGCGTAGATTTCAGGCATTACAATTTCAGGACAGTACGCCAAGATCTCAGACAACATGATGTCAGGACAGTAAGCCTATATTTCAGGCACCATGGCAGGACAGTACATCCATATTTCAGACACCATGATGTCACACCATGATGTCAGGACAGTAAGCCTAGATTTCAGGCACCATGATGTTAGGACAGGACGCCCATATTTGAGGCAACATGATGTCAGGATTGTTGTGAGAATGGTACGCCAAGATTTTAGACAATATGATGTCAGGACAGTACACCCAGATTTCAGACACCATGATGTCAGGACAGTACGCCTCAATTTCAGGCACCATGTCATGACAGTACGCTCATATTTCAGACAACCTGATTTCAGGACAGTACGCCAATATTTCAGACACCATGATGTCAGGACAGTACGCCAATATTTCAGACAACNCGCAGGAGGGTATGCCTCGATTTCAGACGACATGATGTTAGGACAGTATGCCCAGATTTCAGACAACATGATGTCAGGACAGTACACCCAGATTTCAAAAAACTTGATGTCAGGACAGTACACCCATATTTCAGACAACTTGATGTCAGGACAGTACGCCAATATTTTAGACAACATGATGTCAGGAAAATACACCCAGATTTCAGACAACATGATGTCAGGACAGTACACCCATATTGAAGACAACT